TGTTAGTGTTGTTTAAAATTTGACTCAAGTGCGCCCCCTAGATTATTTAATCAGATCTCTTTGATACATCATATGATCTGGACCAGATTTTGCACTCTTCCAGCTTGGCATTGTGCAAGATACAAGACTGAAACCATATTCTTTAACTGTTGTTTATCACATACGACATGGTGAACTGTTTAAAATAAGTCCTTTACATTCATGATAAAACAACAAGTGTCAATTACTCTTGTCTGGAAGGTTAGACTTCAGCCAAACTTGTAAGGCTTGCAGCCTGACTCATACTGATATGTGTGGTAGGTGATTGCAAAGTTTTGGTATATGCGTATCCTGGTGGACGCATGCGAGAGTGGCATGAGAACGTTCATAATGGTGACTGTGAGGCATAGCTTGAGCATCCACAGTTGCAGGTAATGTATAAGGTACGGTGAATGCGTAAACTGTTGAAAAGTCTTATGCATCTCTTTAGATTTTCTTAACGTTTTTTCTTGATAGGAATAAAACCATTTTATATTAAGGTTTATACTTGGACAATTTTCTCATGTCAGCACAATTAGCAAGGCAACACAGGGATTCGAACCCTGTCCCACAAGTGGGAGTACCAATACCATTGCCTTTTGCTTTTTTGCTATGACTAGGTGAAGCAAAACTTACATTAAGACAGCATAGAAATTTCAAAAAGTGAAATTTGATTACTTGTTACCTTGTTCTCTGTTTCAATTCATTCAATTTCAATTTTGATAGATTAATCCCATTGACTCTGGGAAAATTATTTACAAGACACTTCTTTTTAACAAAGGGTTGTTCATTATGGAAAGCCATTTCATTTTAAAAAAAATATTGTTTAGAAATTATTAATAAATATTCCTTCAAAATGAAATATTTATTTGTAATTTTTAAATACATTATTTAATTTTTAAGGCAATGGCTTTCTATAGTTTACAACCCTTATTGTTCATGATCAATTCCAATTGTCTACTGAAAATGTACAAATATTTAATTTAATGCTGTCGTAATGCAATAAAAGAAACCTCTACTCTATACAGTTATGAATATGTACATATTTACAACAATCAGTCAGGTCATCTGGACATTTCCTTGTGTTTTTGAAACGTTGCACCTTCCAGCCGGAAGGCTTCAAAAGTCAAGGAAACAGACAACACTAAACTGAGTCTTCCACAAAACAGATGTTTTCAGGTTGTTTTTGCACAAAGGTACAGGTTTTAACAGTACAATATTGAAATTTCAGAAGATTCCGTTTTTTTTTGTCATTGATTAGGTTTCTTTAAGTCGTCATCTACAACTTTCAGTGTATCGGTTCACAGCCCAGTGTGATGCGGCTAGGATCAGTTCTTTCAAATTTCAGGTCATGGTCTTGGGCTGGAAAAGGGTAGTGTGTCTTCTCTGGATCAAGTAGGAGATTCAGTTCCAAGTTTTGAGGTCTTCTTCAAGAATAAGGGCAAAATTGAGTGTGATATTGATAGGCGGATAGGTTCAGTGTCTTTTAAGTTAAGCGTGCGCTGTATTGGTCTGTCATTGTTAAGTGACAGTTGAGTCAAAATGTTTGGGTTTCAATTTATCTCTCGATTTTTATTCATGCTGAAAAGATAGCCGAGTGAAAAGGTTAAGGTGTCAATTACTATTCGATAGAGGTTCATACTCTCATCTATGGTCATGAGACTGAGAAGCTCAGTCATCCATAAGGGACTTTGACTAGAGCTGTTGCTTCTCCTTGTTGAGAGAAGCTAGTTAAATTTGGCTCAGGTATATGGACACCTGTCTGTTGGACACCTTCTTTGGAAGGTGTTCCAAACACTACACCGAGTGGAGACCCACAAGAAGATTTAGGATACCTTGCATGGACTATGTTTCTTAGCTGGCCTAAGAATTTTTCACAATTTCCCCTCAAGAAGTGGCTCAACAGGCTGGGATGACACGAGTCTGGGATTCCTTAGCCGTTTATCCCGTGACACAAAGGATAAGCGGAAGAAAATGTATGGATAGATAACTCAGGAAAATTACATGAGTTTAAAACCACACATTATGCCTTCATGATCACTAAAATATGTTGGTATGACCATTGCTTCTATTTCATAGGCATTTGATCTTAGGTACACATGATCTATTAAAGTACCTTTCTCTGTGGTTGATTCTTTAACTATTTGAACATATCCTCTGTCACTTAGTAAGTTAGAAATAGATGAGCCTTTAAAAAGATCTTCATTGAAATCACCCATTAATCCTATTGTATTACTTTTTTGTTCAAGCCAATCAAGCAATATACTTAGATTTTTCTTAAAAATTGACAGAGGATACTGGGGTGGGCGATAAACAACCACCACAACTATGTTCAAACTTTGAAAATTGCACACTGCACATTCTAAATCAACATGTGGTGACTGCAAAAATTCATATGCTACACCATCTGCATTGTAGATGCCAACACCACCATGTTCTTGATCTTGTAATGATATCAATGCTGCCTCCTTGCCAGAATACGCTAAACGTCGTGGACAGTTCTGAAAACTGTATCCATCAATCTTTAATGTATCTGATGAGACAGTTGACACCCAGGTTTCTGTTACAGCAATACACTTTGGTTTTAAATGCTGTGTACAAAATGCCAAATCTTGAACATGGCGATTCAAACTTTGCACATTCATTAGAAACACAGTGAAACAAGATGTATCATATCTATCCACTTGTCTAGGTTCAGTCAACAGGGGTGACATTTGCTGAACTGCAACCGTTATGTCATCCTTACAATAAATTTTTTTGTCATCAAATTTATGAATCGTCAATCCTGAAATACTTTTAACACGACTTAGTGCCACATAAGCTTGACCAGGTGCAAAGATTTTACTGAGACATACCACAGCCTTGTCAACAGTTATTCCTTGTACTTTATGGATAGTGCATGCCCATGCTAATTTGAGAGGAAACTGACGTCGCAATCCACCTTTAACAGTGGCTCTTTCTTCCTCTGGTTCAATAGGTGTTGAACCAACCAAATTTGACAACATGCACTTACAGTTTTTCCTCCTTTGTAAACCGACAAAATCATCATCAAAACGAACAAAAACCTTTTCAGGGAATTTTTTCGTTTCTTTCATTATAATCTCGGTTACAGTACCACATACACCATTGACCAACCCATCACTCACGTCCACATTCTTACACAACATAACACGTGCACTCTTACCCAATAGCAACAGTTCCGTCAAACAAGTATTTGAGGCTTTTATGTGACTGCCTTCTAGCAATTTGAGTTTTCCTGTTTTTTTATCATTCACATAATCTTGTGCCGCGATTGACACAAAATCAGGACAGTTTTTAAGTAATTGAGACATATTGTAGTCATTTACTTGATTATTTGTTGCAAATATATGTAAAGCTGAGCTTTGCTCCCCCGTTTCACATTGCTTTAAAATTTGGACATCTTCCGCTAACATGGGTACTCCTTTGGAACGAGTCCTCAACCGGTTTAGCAGCTGGGAAAACACTGAATCTTTTTGACGAACTATTTCAGTCAGTTCTACAATCTTAAATGAATCTGACCACAGAGAACGAGCTACGCCATCACAATACAGTGCTCTGCCTTTAACTGGAGGTAATTGAAAGAAATCGCCAACCCCAACAACACCAATGTTTCCATATGGTGAAAAGTCTCCTGTTTGTTTTATTTGATGCAATCTACCATGAATATATGATAACAGATTGTGATCTACCATTGATATTTCATCTATGATAAGAAGCTGGAGATCACGATATTTTGCCCGCAATGAATTTAATTTCTCTTCACCCAAAGGAGTATATGGTAAGCGTACATCTTTTCCAATACAAAATGTTGTGTGAATGGTTGTTGCTTTTAAATTATATGCGGCAATACCTGTGGGTGCAGTCAACACAACACAAATATTATCAGGATGTTGACAAATTGGTGAGAAGATTCTTTTCGATTCATATTCAATGGCTCGAATTAAGTGACTTTTACCTGTTCCTGCACCACCTGTAATAAAAACTTTTAAAGATTCGGGATTCTTTCCATTTGCTCTGTCTAGGCACCACTGCCTAATATGATAAAAGACTGAAAATTGTTTTGCATTTAGAGATCGAATCAATGCTAGACCTTCAACTCTACTCATGCTTTTTTGGTTCTGAAATATTGCAACATCTTTAACAGTCAAACTCAAATCTGGTATTTGTTCTTGTTCATCGTTTAATGTTGCTCGTGTTTCTTTTTGGCTTTCCAAACACTCAAATCGTTCCACCTCAACCTCAGGACATAATTCGCACCATGCGTCTTCCAGCATTTCAGTACCAACAACATTGTTTGCAGCTTCCAAGGTGTCGGATTCCAATTCAAAATGGCTTCTATTTGAATCTACAACAGCCTTGACTGAATGTCTTGTACCATGAACAAATCGAACTAAACCAGTTTTATAAAAGTCTTGAAATGTTTCACAGTTCAAAGGTTTTAGTTCACCATCGAATCGATAAGGCAAGAATAACTGTAAAACACTTTGATAAAACTTTTCAGGATCTTTGGTTTCAGAGAAACGCGCATATCGAACAACGGCTGGTTGTGTTCGAGTTCTTTTAGCAACAAAACCAAAACCATTATTCAACTTCACTGGATTTTTGCACTTTTCATTTTTGGTCAAAACACGATATTCTGATGCAAACTTTGCCAGGCACATATCCTGAAAGACATCATCACTTGGCCTATTCTTGTAACGATCAACAAGACCGGTCATCCACATGTCATCTGTTGTCAGATTATCTGAAGACGCCTTGTCTTTTAAGACAGAAATTGGTAGGCTCATTTTCACAACATTGTCACCAGTTGGAATAAAAACAACCTTTCGGGAACACTCCTTTAAGTGCATGTTGGTTAATCTATACACAGCTTCTTGTGCACAAACATCTCGATTGTGTAAATAAACACTACCAATTGTCTTCAATGCCTGTTTAGCACTTACATTGCCATCTTTGGAAGCTTCTCTTTGAGCATTTCCTAGCAGAAGGCCAATTTCTCTTTCACTTTTAGACATGTAAGAGATTATGTAAACACAAACTGCATATGCATCAACACAAAACTGGATATCAATATTAGCATTCCAAGCTTTTAACAGTGACCTGCTGTATTGATTAATCCAGATTTCGTTAATGTTTCTTTTCAAAACAACCTGAGTATTTCGACTACATCGTTCATACGCCATTTCAAAAATTTCTTGCTTTAGTCCCAAGCTGTGAAATATTTCTTGTGTCGTAGTATATTGACAATTTTCATCCGATATTGTTTTTTTAATTTGAGTTAAGATATTACTTGCAACATCTCTTGGCATTTTTTTTTGGTTATTCTTTTCCTTATTTGCACATACACACTGTTGAATACCATCTTTTTGGTTCAAGTTGCATTGACAGACTGGATCCAGATATTTCTCACCACGAGAAATAAAGGTTCTGACAGAAGCAGGTCGTGGAAAATTAAAACGACAGACAGTATTTCTCTTTTTACAACTCTTTGAATGTCGTTTTGAATGCTGCTGGACAGAAGAAACTACTTCAACTAATGAGTCATCTGAAGATGGAAGCTCACATGACACATACTTATCGATAAATGCAACCACCTCTTCATCTGTGTTTTGATCTAGGATTGGAGCGTTGGCAATCCAGAAGAGGCAATGACAATGTGGACTGCCCCGTTGTTGAAATTCAACACGATAATAATAGTCGACTACTTTACCGATAGGATTTGCAGGAGACATAAGAACTTCTCTTAAGAAGACATGCCAACGGAAATCAAACATCCTAGCAGCAGTAACGGGATTTCGGCGCAGCAGTTCACACTTATCTGCATATTCTAATTGTTCCACAGTCTGATTTCGGCCTTCTTGTTTCAAAATGCTATAAAGAAGATTAGTCCATCTCATATCTGCAGACGAAAACGATGCAAACCAAGTGGGCTTTCCTAATTGTTTAACACAAGCTAGAATATCTTTTTGAGCTGACTGCCAAAAAGCTGGTGTGCCTCTAATGGGTTTTAAGAAACGATACCCATCATCAAATTCTAACAGTTTCTTTAAAGATTCCTCATCTTTCACAAAGTCACTGACATTTTGAGATTTACACGTTTTGCCTTTTCTTAATGCTATTGATACATTAGATACGACCTGTTCCAGTTCTGTCATATACTGAGCAAAAAAGATGTATTCCACATTATGGGCAAACCTGCCATCAGCGTGAAGAAGTCGGTTGTTAAAATAACGAGACAAAGTTAAACGGTATTTCCGATTTTCATGATATGTATTGCATCCTGAAGGAAACAACACAGGGAAGCTTTTGGCTTCATTTGTAAAATCAGATAGCAATTTTACAGGATTATTGTTTTCACCTGGGGCTACATTCAAAATTTTGTCATAATATTGATCCAATGCTTCTTGGCCAATATCAACTGGCATAAGACAAGTGTCCTGAAACATACAGTGTTGCTGTCGATCATGCAACATCTCATCACTTTCATCAATACAAGTGTCACCATCTTCTTTCGAACTACTCTCCTCCAAAACAGAATCATCGTCCTCCCGACAAAACTCATTTATCCAGGATTCATTGAACTCTACATCTTTATAATGCAAGTTAGAATGTTTTAAATACTTCAGAGCGTCCTGAACATGCATTGTGTCAACAAATTGATAATCATAATGTCCTTTATACGTGAGTTTGCGCTTCAGTTTTACTGGTAACAAAGACCCCTCCATACTACTACGTGGTAACAAACTGCACGTTTCAACAATATTTGACGGAACACAAGTAACAGGACCATGCACACCGTTTTGTCCACCTTTAGGCAGAGCCAACATTTTCATAAACGGTATATGTAAAGCTATTAAATGCTGCTCTAAAGTATTTAAACATGCTAATTTAGGTGGAATGGGATCAAGTATTAAATTATTTACTGAACTTTCAGGTGGCATCTGACCTTTATTAATTTTATAATGACATGTGTAGCAGATGTACAGTTTATTTCCCGATGTATGAAATGTGTCACAAGGTAATGTACAAACGTCATTGCACCTGTGTACATAATCATCACTTATACAAGTTTCTGCTATTAAAGACATTTCTTTGGTTTTTTGATAAGAATCCCTTCTGCAATTCAAAACCTGATGTTTAAATAACAATCGAAAGCAGACACAACACACAAAGTCAGGCCCCTCTTTTACTTTGTCCAAAAACTGTTCAATAACAAAATCAATTTGCTGTGAGTTTTCTTTTATCTCCTTTCTTTTCGATTTTACACGTGTCATTACATGCATTTTATGTTCAAAGTTGCGGTACATGTTTTTATTATAAAGTTTCACTTTCTCTCTATGAACTTTATCTTTTTTGTATTTATGTATACTCATTTGCTTGACTTTATCTCTATGATTTTTGTTTTCTTTGTACTTATGTACACTCATTTGCTTGACTTTATCTCTATGATTTTTGTTTTCTTTGTATTTATGTATACTCATTTGCTTGACTTTATCTCTATGATTTTTGTTTTCTTTGTATTTATGTACACTCATTTGCTGGACTTT